TTTATTTGCAGGGTCATTTCACAAAAATCGAATAAAAATATTCGGCATTTCCAAATAACATTTTCTATTTCAGATCATTTGTTTATAGTACTAGAATAGTTCATTACCACCCGAGACATGTTTTTCCAAACCCGACAGCTTTTTCGCATGACTGTAATTTAAATTTATTTTTACAAAGTATTTATAGTTAATTACATATATAATTTAACATTAATATATAATAATTTTATATAGTTTATATTCAATTTAATTCGATATATTTTTTATTGTTCTAATAAGTTTACCATCATTTGTTTTTATCAATAAAGTATTTTGTATATGCAGTAAAAAGTGTTTATTTGTTGGGTTTTTAAACAGAAATAAAAAGTATATTTGTGGGTTTATCATAAAATTGTGAAGAATAATTTATTCACCATTTTTTCCATTAAAAATCAGTGTTATAGAAAATATAGTGGTTTTTTAATTATAATAAAACTATATTATTTATCTAAGTGTACCTAAATTCAAGGTTCGAGAGCAAAATAATTATTTGTGGGTTTTGCATTTATTGGTTTATTGACCCGCAAATAGACATAACCCACAAATATAAAAACCCACAAAAAGACACTTTTTACTGTAATAAAAATAATTATCAAGTTTGTGTAATTCAAACAATGTAATAATTAATTTTATTTGTTTATTAATAAGATTTAATGAAATAATTAAATAATGAAAACTCGCATAAAAAACACCTTTTTATTTATGTATTCTACTTAGTATTAATAATAGTTAAACTAACATTAATTTAATTATTCAAAATTACATCTAAAAATAAAAAGGTACTTTTTAATTTTTAACAACAATCTAAAAAGATTTTTGACATTAAGGTTTGAATTAACAATGAAATAAATTTAAATTGTCAAAAAGTTATATTTTTTAATAATGATAATTAATTGTTAATGTGTATTGTAATACATTATAACTATAGTCAGTCTAAAAAAAGTCGTCCGCTCTCCAACGTTGTCAGGGCATTTTTGGACAATTAAAACTGTAATATTTCGGGGAAATGTTCGAAAAATTTCAAAAACACTGTTTCATAATTTTTAAACTGGAAAACAAAATTCGGAATTGGATTTTTTTTTCATTTTTGCTAAATATTCAGGATTTTTATGCAAATCATTTTTTCTTAATAAAAAATATTTTGGGCAAAAATGCTTTTTTGAAGAAAAAGTTCAATAAAATAAGAAGGAAAAAAAATAGAAAATTGTTTTTTTCGAATAAAAGTTTCTCTTTTTAAGACTGAAAAATTTAAGAAAGTTTTGAGTCTTATTTTTGTCCCAAAAGTACAATTTTAAAAAATATGTCAGACAAATGAAAACAAATCATAATTTTGATATTTCATTTGAAATAATAAGTTATTATAACAAACAAGAAATCCAAAAATACATTTTAATTGTCAAATATTAAAATAAAATATTATTATTATAGTTTTATTTATAAAATATTATAGAATTTACAACCAAATTAATTATAAAGTCAAAGTTTATTGTTAAATCAAAAAAACTGTCTATAAAAATAATAATAAACTAAAAACATCAAATGAATAAAGACGAGCTGATTGCTTTAGCTTTGCAAAGTGGAAAACACTTTTCAGAAATTGAAAAGTTGTTCAAAGTGTCTCCCAAAAAAGTTGCAAGAATTGCAAAATGTATAAAGAATGGAGAACCTATAAAGGTATTAAAGAGGGGAAGAAAGAAAATAACAGTTGATGTCGAAAAAATGATTGACAAAATTACAACTAAAAACCCTTTGTCTTCTTGTAAAGAAGTTTCGATAAAAGTCAACAAATCAACAACAACCATTGAGAGAGTACGGAAACGGCTAGGATACCGTTACTCAAAACAAATTTCAACTCAGGTATTAACTAAAGAACAGATATTCAGAAGAAAAAAATTCGTGAAAACTGAACTTCAACCCAAAAACTTTAAAAAATGGGAAAATTCGATAATATCTGACGAAAGTCGTTTCGGAGTTTTTCCGGATAAAAAATGGTGCTGGCGACCAAAGAATCTTTTAGCTCGATTACGATTGTTCAACAAAACAAACAACAGAAACAAATGTTTATTAAAAGAAATTCAACCACTTTTTTCGAAAACACCGAAACATAACACGACTATTATGGTATGGGGAGCAATAGGAAAAAATTTTAAGAGTGATTTATTGCTTTGTCCACCTCGAATGAACTCTTCAAGTTACAT